GCAGTGTTTTGAAGAAACACGTTCTCTAAAAATCAAAAAAAAAGGTGAGGGGAATGCTTTTTTAGAGTAAAAACTTGGTTTGGAAGTAGATACCTCTTTTGAAGAAGTGTTTTGAAAGAGAAAAATTAGGAAACAGAAAAATTGAATGTAAGAGAAAATTTAGGAAAGAAGCATTCCAATTGGTTGCTAAGGAAATAGTCAATGGGATGCAGGGTGAAAAAAATATATTTTTTGGCTAGATATGGAAAATTAAAAACTTGCAGAGAAGAGATATAAAGATATATCTGCAAAATTGTATTGAACATTTCCTTGAATTCCTATGAGGATCAATAATTTTTTTATCAACAGGAGATCAGCATTTTTATCCATTAATTTCTATAAATTTAATTTGGTGTCTGGGATTTAATAAAGTTAGGTTATCTTTGCTTGTATTTGTAATGCTCCATATACAGCTCTTTTGTACCTGTATGAAGAAATCTGGTGAACGAAATATTTAACTACATCAGTTTTTTTTGGGGGGGGTGTTTATGCAATTTGTTTATTCTGCTGCTATTATCCTGTAGTTGTGACATTTTACAGTGAGCAACAGATATATAATTTTCAGTTTCTCATGATGTCTGCTTAAGTGTTAGGATGTTCTTGACCACTAAAATTTTTACTTTTTTTCCTTTATCACTCTTGCAATTCACTTTTTGCTATTTATTTCAATGTTTACTTGAAAGCAGTATTAAAAGTATTTAATCTGTTGTACAATAATTTGTTCTGTCTGCCTCTACTTTTGCTGGAGAGGCAGAACTGCACATTTAATGTTCATTCCCCACTGCCTGCTGAGTTCCAGCAGTGTCCACGTGAAAACTCCTGGACGACAATGGAGAAGCAGGAAAAGGACAAGTGTCAGATGAAGCCTGACAGGGGCTATGAAGGAAGATATTTCAAAAGATATGGAAGGTGAAAATTAGATGCCAGATACCTGGTAGAAATGAGTAGTTAACATCTGGTTTTGTAGTTTCTGTGTTAACAGTTTGGGGACTATTAGACCAAGGGGGGAAGAAATCTTTGTGTGGTCAGGGCCACAGTGGACACCGAGACTTGGAAAATTATCAGAACCAGAAAAAATAAATCAGTGTGAGTGCAGTGTGTTGCATTCAGCATCAAGATAATTAATCTGGTTTATGCAAAGCATGAAACTGCAAATTTATGAATGCTCAGGCTTTAATTACATGTTTGTATTTGGTGATTGTGCTTCCCTCCTTTATGAAATGACTGCAAAGAAGAGCAGTTAAGTGAATTCACTTGCATCTCTGCTTTACTGCATCCATCCAAGGAAAAGCCTTTGCAATGAGGACAAGCATGTTTGCAGTCTGAACATGTTTCCATCACAGTTTTAATTTCACTGGAACTGGGAGGAGTAAAGAGGGTCCCTTAGGGAGATGCTCCCCTTTGCCATGTTTGTGTCACCAGGTGTGCCACAGGTTAAGTGCTGTTTGTGGAGAGCTCAGCAGCCACATCTCCCCTGGGTATCCACAGGGGCTGCAGCCTCCCCAGCCACTGCCACGGGATTTTATCATCAGGAAATGCAGTGTATAATGAGCTGGTCCCAGTGAAATCAAACACTCGCTTTTCAGAAACAGGAGAGAGGTACAGATGCTTCTCTCCTGACACTGTGAAACTCTGTTTGAGGTCAGAAATATCCAGCGGGCCTTTCACTGCCTTCTGTAGGCAATAGACCCATCTACAAACGTCTTTTTCATTAATTATTTTGAACCTTGAATACAGGTTCTTTTCCACTTAGATGTTATTTAAATTTCTAAGATTCCTTTTTTTGGTGAACCTATTGGAATAGTTCTTTAAATTCCAGATGCATTAATTTTAGATGCATGCATGCATCTATTAATTAGTTTTACAGTAGATCTAGCAGTCACAAAATTCACATTTCCCCAATTTGTATGCCCAGAGTGTAAAATCCTTGGAGTTTTCATGCTGTATATCTTATGAATCATAAATTATTTTTTTTTTTTTAAAAAAGTGGTCTATATCCTTTCCTCTTCTTAGAGGCTATTTAAACAAAACCCAAAACTTTTATTCCAGAGCTTTTGAAGCAGCATCTTTACTAGCACTTGCAAATGAATGACAGCCGAGTTATAGTACTGTATAGCTGAAAAGCCTATTTGGCTTTTAAACATAGGTGATTCAGTAGCCCTGCATATACAAGTGTTGCTTAAATGAATACTACCTTTTTAGAATTCTTTATTTATACAAATTAAAATGCTTGAAGACTGAGATTAAATGTTTTTCAAAAGAAGAAATGTTTAATGACTAAAAAAAAATTGTCTTGGAATAATTACCTCAGAATATATTTTCTCTCCTAAATAAGGCAAGACATCAGAAAATAGGAAGAAGTAATATTTCTTATAATCAGAATTTCTATTCCCTAGATTTAACTAGCTGTATATAAATAGCATGCTTATATCTTCCCAGTGTTTGGATTGATAAATTTCTCTGTGTTGCAAAAGATGTGGCTAAAGCTCTTCCTGCTGCTCTCTATTTACAGAACATGAGTGGATTAATTGGGGTATACTTTTATATTTGCTGGTGTATTTTACATCTTGAATTAGATAAAATAAGAATTTTACCTGTATTAAAAATGGTGATTTTTAAAAAGAAAACTGAATTGAAATGAAGAGAAAACTGAATGAAAGAACACAAAGAATTTGGCTTAAAGGGTCAAGGCCTAGTTGAGTATGTAATGTATGTTATGTATTTGACTTTGCTTTAAAGAAAGTGTTAGTGCTGTCTCCATGTTTTACATCTGCCATTTTAATTGAAACTAGGAATTCTAAGAGTCAAGAGAACTCTGAATATTTGACAAATTGGACAATTTCCTAGCTGTTTCATAATTTATTTTTTTTTTCTTCTAGGTTTTGCCAGTTTGTTTAGGCAGCACATGTATTACAGGATTGCTAGAATCAAATATTAACATTTCACAGAGAATTCCCACAGCATGATGATATAGGAGTCTTCAGGGCAGCTGTGATGAAAAAAATAACTATGTTTTACATTTTTTAGCAGTGCTAAACTAGATCAGCAGTCTAGATCAAAATGAGCTGAAGGGACCAGTATAACAAGGTTCCAAATATTGGCATTCATAAATGCATCATTTTTTCCTTAACTGTTAGAAATATAAAATATTTTAACTAATTACTTAATATAAGCATAGAACAGGTTGCAAAACAGCCTGGGATGGAAAAAAATATATTTAATTGCTTCTGAGTAAAAGGTTTTATTTCTATATATATGTCAAACCAAACCCAAATGACTTGGGATATTAAAAAGCAGCATGCATTTCCCAACGTTGTCTTCCTAGCACCTGAGCTATAAAAATGAGCTTTTCCTGAGCAGCATTGTGTGATATAACTGCTGAAAGAGGCATCTGCTCAACAGCTGCAATTTTGTTTCACACTGAAATGATCCAGATTGTGTCATCCTTTCTCTTCCATTGATTGCCAGCATCTGAATCTTCATGTTCTAGCATTTGTCAAGGGTGACTCCTAAAAGCCTTGGGCTGTCTTGGAATGTGAATGCATGGCATAAACATAAATGGAAAAACAGCAAGCAAGAAACAATGTGGGATGGTCCTAAATTTTATAGACTGTAGGAGAAAATGTTCATGCTGAATTTGATTTTAATAAATTACATTTATTGTAATGAAGTCCCTGCATATATGGATCAATACTTGGAAATCCTGTATTTTGGTAGAGTGTGTATCTAATCTACCATGATTGATAATTCCATATGCTGGCCATAATACTTTGTTTACATCTGTGTGATGTATATGTAATATACAAGGTATGTAATTGTATAGAGGTCTGTGAACTGTCTGCTTTAAAGAGTTACAAATGGTTCAGTATAAGCTGCTACATTTCTTACAGTTAATCTTTGTGTTATAAAAATGAAGCAACAAAAGTTAGCTGCTGAAATGGGAAGAGGAAATTGTGCATTTCAGAGAAGGACAAAGGACTAGAAGTGTGGGAAGGCGTTTCCATACTCACTTAAATTTAGGTGATTTTTACAGATTGGCAGTACCAAAGTAATCTTTTCTCCAACATTGTCTTTTAAACTTTTTATATAAACAAATCTGTTGTCTGTATTTTAGAATTCTGAGTCAGAAGTCCTTGGGAATTAACTCTGCAGCTGCCTGGCACTATGCAGCCAGGATATGTGTACAGGGATGCACATATCTGTACATTCTGTACATTTGTACTCAGCTGTGCAAATTCAAAATGTGCTCTGAGATAGATGGTCACAGTAAAGTGAAATCTGTAGGAGTTAGTGGTTGTGTTCAAACACTTCTCATCCATAAAATGTGTAAAACTTTTAAATGGATTAGCAGCTTGAGATTCTTTTCCTCATAGAAATGTTCCCTTCTGTGCACAAATTACTATTGTATATTGAAAATCTCAGTTTCCTTTATTACAGCTGGAGGAGACATTTGATTCAAGAAGCTCAGCTGTTTATTTTTATGTCATTACTACTTGGCCTTTTCATAGCTGCTTCAGGGAATAAGAGAAGAGGCTGCTGGTGACATCCTCGCTATTTCTCTGTATTCTGTTTCTCAGGCTTGCAGCCATCAATGGCATTGATGTCCTTAATGATTTTTTTTTTTCAATTGTCCCAATGGCATTACTCTAAAAGAGTATTATGAAATTTTCATTTGGCTGATGGACTAGAAATATCTCATCAGCCAGAGAAATATTGCTATTACCATTCACATATCCCAAGTAAGTTTTCCAGCTTCTACTTTGCTGGAAACTATATAGCCTGCCATATGAAATGGGAAGATTTCTTTATGCAATCAGAAGGAAATCACTTAAGTTTTAGATAATTGCTAGTTTTACTTATTTGTCATTTTTAGTAACAAATGGAAGAATTGTAACACTGAGCCAACCAACCGTGTGAAATTATGCACACACAGGCTGGCATTTTTCTCCTGTATCATTTAGGTTCCTCTGCAACACTGGAGTTTCTGTATGAATTGCAATATCAATCAGATGAAATTAGATCTCAGCTTGAATCTTTGGTTGGTATGCAGCTGGTTGAAAAAGAATGGGATACAGAATCCAGAATTGTAACGCTGATCTTTAATGTAGTGTTTGTACCTAACAAACCAATGAGGTAAGATCCAGTTCCTTACTACCAAAAGAACATGTAATGAAATCCTGTCTGGTCACTCTTACCTATATAATTATTTCCCTGCATTCTTTTCCTCATTTTGTTTTCACCTCTGAGATCTACTTTAGATATTATGTTTATTTAGGTTTAGATTTTCTCCCTTGCTTCTTCTCAGTATTATATCTTTGGTATTAAAACTGACAGTGTTTCTTTTCAGTGCCTGTGAGATAGTTCTGTTGAGTTACTTTCAGAGCCTGTGCATGCATTGTTTTACTTGTAAACACTGGAGTATTTGAAAGACTTTGAATGAAAATAATTTGTTCTCATAATTCATAAAAAACATAAAAACAAGATAATCTATCAGTCTTGGAAAACTTTTCCTTGACAAGCATGTGTGCATATTCTTTGACAGGGTGGGATAGTTGAATTTGAAATAGTTTCTGCTGCCCCAGTAACAATGATCCACAGGAGATTATTCTCCTTTTTTATAATTGTCATGTGACAAATGATGTATATGCTTTGATTTATGTAAGAACATCTCTCATCTTTAAAAGGAAACTATTGAAGGGAGATCCTTTTTGAGAGAGGGAGGTTGCCTCTTCCTTTGGGTGCAGTGAAATGTAGGTCAGTGGGAGACTGAAAAGAAGCTTTAGTGACCTTCAGGCCTGAAGTAAATCCAGAGTCCTGACATTCCCAGGAGTGTTAGGGAGCAGCCACTGCTGAGTATCATGGATTGCAGGAAAAAAGTTACCTTTAGGAGGCAGGAGGTTGCTCTTTATTTCCAGCAGTCCAGAAGGTTAATGAAATAAACAAAGGGAAAACCTTTAGGAAGAATGATCCATCCACTCAGTTCAGTGCCATTGTGTCAGAGAGAGGTGAATCTAAAAAGCCTTTTCATTTCTACTCTCTTGTTTTTATTTTATTATTTTTTTTAATTTGGTTTGCATTTTTTATCTTTCTGTACTTGAGACTTAGGCTTTGTGAAGAGGACTCAATGATTGCAATTATTTAGTTTGGTTATCGTCAGAATCTACAGCACCAACTCTCTTAGACAGTCCAAAGCCATCACAGTCTGGCATTTTTCTTGAGTAGATGGACCTTTGTCAAATCTATTTGATCCTAATATGAACTGCTAATTGGTTCTGGACAAAATTCTCTAATGTCACAGTAAACACAGACAATGAGTAAAATAAAGTTGTTTGTTTTTTTTAATTCAAAACAGAGCAAGCAGAAGAAAAAAATCTCATGGCTGTGCAAGGAATGTTTCTTTCATATTATATTCTCTCTTGTAATTTGCTGTAAATATCTAGTGCTATTTTACCTACATTCCAGTCAAATTTACTTGACATTTTACCTACATTCCAGCGAAGTTTACCTGATATATATGCAAAATTAGGGATGTATTAAAAGTTTAAAGTAATTTGTATCTTCATTTTACTGTAGTCTACTTCAACACACTTGAAGATTTTCTTGGGGATTAATCAGTTCATGTTTTATAAGGTTTTTCTGTGTATTGACTGTATTTTATCTGAAATTTTAAGGAATGAGGCAACTGTGATAATTCAGTGTGCTACAGGAGGCCTTTGGAAGTTTCCATTGGTGTTCATTGCCACGGAGCCAGAAGTGGATGATGTGATCAACATTGAAGCAGTTGGCCTGAATAAAGAATCCATAGTTGGCTTTAAGCTCACAAGCCAGACAAGGTAAAAACACGCTCAAGAATTTATGCAGTTTTCTGAGGGTACAACTCCTACTCAAACACATTGCTTAGAATAAATTTGGGTGACAGACACATCACTGAGATGTAGCTATTTAATCATTATTTTCAAGAGCTGCATTGTTTTAGTAACAAATGTGATTTTGAGTCTTTGTTGTAGAAAACAGAAGCATTCTACATTTAAGCTTTGGCTTAAGAGAAAATCTGTGGAGTAGATCCAGATGTTTATGTTATGTCTTTTTTTGCCCTAAAAAAGCCTTGGGAGGATGTTAAAATGTGTAATACAATGTCAAGGAAGATGTTTTGTGATATTAAAGACTCACTAGTAAAGCTTTAAAAGCTAGTGCTTTTACTAATAGATTTTTTTCAAGGTACTTTATGCTTACACCAAGTTAAAAACATTCCCTCACATTGTGCTTTAAAAAAATTTAAACATGCTGTTCTTTTTAAAGTGCTCCTGTTGTATTATGTAAGTGTGCTATGAATTCATCTCTACTTCCACTTGATAAAATGGTATAATTCTCCAGTATTTTGTTACTCTTCTTTTATTGAAGTCCTATAGAAACTTCTGTTAATATATGATTTTTACATATTTCAGTTATCTTCCCAGTTTCAAAATGTTATAGCAAACTTAAAATGTCATTTATATACAGCAGTAAGTCAAGGAATAAATTGTGTGATAATGATAGATAAATTTTAAAATATTAAACAGGGAATCTGAATTAATCATAATGTTTATAATCCATGTAGCTTATGGAAGTTTTAAAGTTTCTTTTCTTTTAAATTAACTCTTTTTACTATATATCTAGAAAGTGTGCCAGTTATGCAGCTTGACACTTTCATTGTGGATACATCCTTTGGTTTCATCCTCATCAGGAAGTATATTTGGTTATAATTGGTTTTTTTAAGCTTATTTTCAAAAGCTGTGTCTCTAAGATGGACAGTTGTTCCAGGTTTTAGATGTCTGTCAGTAATGTTAATTATTGAGGACTGTGACAAAGGCTTCTATCACAGTGTTCAAGTTAACAGCTTCAATAGAATGGCTGTTTCAGGAAAAAAAAAGTGAAGCAATTTCTCTGGCAATACTGTAATCTCCTGGTAGGTGTTTGATAGTAGTGAAGATACCTGATGTTCTCCAGGAAGGTGTTATAAAACCTAAGTCATTACAGTTATATAAAGGAAGAGCTGTGATGGAAGATAGATTCTCTTTTGCCCTACTTTATTTTTTATTATGTCCCCCCCATACATTTCAAATTCAAAATGTAATGTTTGCATGTACTAAGAAAGCTCTGTGTTATAAACAGTACCAGGAACTCCACTCATTAAGGTGCTATCTTAGTTTAGGGTCTTAAAGGTGCAGAACTTAATATATAACATAAACCAGGAAACTGGGGATACCAGTATCATAAAGTGCCCCCAGGACAGGTGCATTAGGAAGAGCACTGCCAGCAGGTCAGGGATGTGATCCTGCCCCTCTGCTGAGCCCTGTGAGGATCTCCTGGAGTGCTGTGTCCAGCTCGGGGCTCCTCAGGACAGGAGAGACACGGAGCTCCTGGAGCAGATCCAGCAGAGGGTGACAGAAGCTGGAGGGACTGGAGCATCTCAGTGAGGAAAGGCTGAGGGAGCTGGGCCTGTTCAGCCTCGAGAAGAGAGGGCTGAGAGGGGCCCTCATGCCTGTGTGTCAGTGTCTGCAGGGAGGGGACAGGGGATGGAGCAGGCTCTGCTCCGTGGGGCCATGGGACAAGAGGAATGGGCAGATGGATGTACAGAGGATCCACCTGAACATGAGGAAGAATTTCTTTCCTGTTTAATGACAAAACACTGGAACTGATTGCCCAGAGAGGCTGTGGAGTCTCCCTTGCTGGAAATAATCCAAGAACTGTCTGGACACAATCCTGTGCCATGTGTGCTCTGGGGTGATCCCACTTGAGCAGGGAAGCTGGATCTGGTGGCCCACTGTGGTCCCTTCCAACCTGACCCATTCTGTGATTATGTGAACTGCCCCATAAGTTATGCATTACTTTATTTTACCTGGGATTTGCTTGGGAGATTTTGGTGGTAGAGGTTTTGTATAGAAATAGAATACTCAGCCAAGCAACACATAGTATAATGTACCTGCAGATTAAAAGCAATTACATAAGAAAAAACACATATTACAGGGTAATTTAATGCTTGAACAACTCAAATTATTTAAATTAAAAATAAGACAATGAAATATTAAAACATGCTTTAAAATTTCTGAATAGGATACAAAGTGTCATCCTATAGATCTTCCCTGAAAAAAAATGATCTGCCCTTTGGAATTTCCTTAGTAATCAATTAGCAGCACAATCTGTCGGGAATAAGTTCTTCTACTTTAAGAAAGATGGGGTTTTTTCTCCTTGCATATATAGATACTTGGTGTCTTCTTTTCTTATGCTGGACAGTGCATGGCACTGCTGCCTTGGGAGTAACTGTGGGGAAAACAAGTGTATTTCTGAGTAACCTGCTAGGGGGGTCTCTGCAGATGTGTCTTTTTCTCCTGCTACTGCCAGGAGAGAGAGGTTGCACAGCATCACTGAGAACACCTCTGCATCTTTTTGAGCTAGCAGGGTGCATAGTGATGCAACAAATAGTATTTGACAACCACAGGCCCTAAAAAAAGCTCAGGATCTTATTAAGAACAATTTAGGATTCTTGTATGTATATTAAATATATATATACACACCACATTGAATGAAGATCTTCAGTGCTCCACAATAAACCTATGAGATCATTGGGTTTAGCTTTCCTTTACTTTACAGCTAATGCAAATGTGGCCTTCCTTAAATTCCACATTCCTCCATTCCCTCCCCCCAAATCCTGTGTGTACAGGATATTTCAGAATGAATTAGTGATTTTGGTGTAGTTTCTTCAGGAAAGATGATC